TTCTTCTTCTTCTTCTTCTTCTTCTTCTTCTTAGTATCATTATCAATATTATTTTCATAATTATCATACGTTTTGTAAAATGTATTTGTTGTATTTGTATTGTGTTAGGTTTATTGCTAATTTTATTACAATAATTTATGATTTTTGCAGCTTGACAAAGTGACCAGGGAAAAGGCCAAGGCAGCCCACAATGAAGACCAGAAGAAGAAAATCCAATACCCTCTAGACTCCCCCGAAGGAGCGTGCTACAGGAGACTTTCAAAATACCGGCAATTTGAACAGAAAATGATTACTGAAAGCTATAATGGACAAGGCAACATCCGAATTAAAGCAATGATGAAGAGTGATGAAAATGAAGACGTCCAGACCTGTCGTGGGGACATGCTGTATTTGTATACAGTGGGAGTACCAGATGGGACAAATCAGTTCGAGGAATCTGGCTCATACTTCAAAAGACTTGTAGATGGGTGGAGGAAGCGGACCCCGAACCCCCTTGGGCATCCGGAGAGTTTCCTAAACCGCTGTGCGATGGTGCCAAGTGAAGCCACTAAAGATGAGGTCCTCCAACTAGGGGCAAAGTGGGATCCCGAGGTTGGGTCAGAGGTCAATGCCACCACAGATGCCAGCAGGTCGTGGTTCAGCGCCGTGTTTAGCGACCGCGTCTTCTCGTTCCTTGTGGTCTGTATTTTGTGGGCCAACTTGTTCAGGTGAGATGATCAGTTGTGTGGCCACACAAGAAAACCCGCAGCTTCTCAATTGAGGAGTGAGGGGGAAGGGGGGATGGGAGGAGGGATGTTTCCGAGATAACTTGTGCGATTTATGTCATCAAGGTGTAATGTGGGAGTAATTGGGGTTACGCGGGAAAGTTAAATCTAAACATCTTTTTGTATCGTTTCCAATGAAAACATCGAACAATTGGTTTATAATATTACATGCTTATTCTTTGTTTTCCTTAACCTACTCTTAAGGTAACAAATTATATTCATCTTTGACTTTAAACGCCATTTTTCCGTTTTTATCTTTTTCATACTTACATCATTCAAATGGTCACAAGGTTTGGAACGCTTATGGTATTAGCACGAAATGTGCAAATTCCTTAGAAAGCTTTCCTAAAACAGAATAAGTGCATGTCTAAACATTATGCAATTGTTGGACCCATGCGAAGAGTTTTCTTGTGCGTGACACAGCTATGATTACAGTTTGATTTATTTTCTTTTGGTTGACTCCCAAACTCCTGTCCAGATAGCATTGTTAGATAATACGTATTCTCTAGGGTAAAACTTTTTGTTCAAAACATTTGGATGGAATAATCGGCAGTATTTGTTTCATGTACCAACTCACCGAGTTCATCTCGGGTCACTGTAAGGAGTTTTCAATGCTCTCAACCTATTTAGCTCGGCCGTATCGGAGATGGAAGTAAAAATCGGAACCGATCCCTTACATAACCTGTGTTGAAAGAGGTGTTAAACCCATACATTTACCTCTACTTACCAAGGGTACGTTTATCGTCAAAAATGATGGCCTTCATGCATAC